TGTGAACACGGGGAGAACATACAAACTCTTAGCAGGTAGCGCCCTGGGAACTGAACACGGGGCCTCAGCAATCCAAGACGGCAATAGTACCCACTGTGTCACCATACCGCCTTTACAGCAGCCCCATTCTCCTAATTTAATCTTACAACTTCCTCCTTCCTGAAGATGTAAGCTTTATGAATGTAATTGTTTGCTTTGGATTGCATGGAAAGTGCAAAACATAGTTATTACAGTGAAGTTAATTAAATAATTTTTTAATTTCTTCAGTTGTTGTCAATATAAAGCTTTATATTGAAATTCAGTGTACTGTAAGATGGACTGCAGTTTACAATTACCACACAATATATGTATGCTAAAATGAAAATCAGCATTCCTCTTATAGTGTGCCACTATATTATTTTGTGGTATCTGCATACTTCTGGCCAAATCTAAATCCCAGCTCTTATGACAACATGATTAGCTTCCCCTTTGTCAATGCTTTTTTCATGTACTGCAGAAAAACTGGCAGTGAGATTTTGTGTTTCTGAATTTCAGAGTTCTTAACAAGGTAAATCCGGATCTAAAAATATAAACTACCCCTCCTTGATAGTACCAGTACTATCACCAGTGTTGTCAGTATCCTCTAGATAACCCCAAAGGAAATTCTGAACATCCTCCAGAAGGCGGTAAAAGCCGAAACGTTTTTTTCATTTACCTGGATGTAGAAACTACCTGATGATTCTATTTACATTTTGTGCTGTCAATAACATATCGTACTGTATGTGTAATCTTCTTTTTCCAGTGTGAGAAAGCCTTGTCTCTTCTGTAAGCTGTTTGGCCCGTCTTTCACGTTCCGTTGATAATAGTTTTCCCCCTATTGGTCCCATTAAAATTCTTATTTTGGATGATCAGGGAATCGGATTCTATACCCCGGGCTGCAACAGGCCGGCTAATACTTCTCTCCGTTTCCCGTTTCAGATTCAGTTCCACGTCACCATCGGTCACACAGCCCTGTCCCTCTACATCGACTGCCCTTTCCCCAAGTGGATGCACTGGGCTCTGATTGCGTACGCCGTCACCTTCATTGTCCTGTTTGCCAACTTCTATTACCAGACGTACAGGCATCCGAAGAAGGACTTCTCCTCTAAAGGCGGCAAAGCGGCCGTCAATGGTGCAGCCCCGGCGGCCGTCAATGGGCTCGGCAAGCAAGAGAGCAAGGCGCTGGTGGAAAATGGCAGGAAGAAGAAGAAAGGAAAAGCAAAGCGGGAATGAAATGAGTAAGCCGGCCTTACCAAAGCGGGTGGCTTGAGAAACGAAACCAAGAAAAATCCCAGATTTATAGGCGGGAAGGGAAAAGGTCTAGCCAGACCACAGGCTGTGCAGATTTGTGTTCATTTCCAAGTTGGTCAGGTTGGTCAAGAGGGGATACTAATAGGGTATCTTGTTCTGATATTTGGGATTCAGATTATGGCATCATAGAATAACAGTTTTAGTGACAAAAGGTATACTTTTATTTAAAGGGATATTTTGTTTTTTTTATTCTGGATTAATGTTTTTAAACAATTCAGGGAATCATGTAAACAAGACTGGCATGCAGTTAGATTTTATCCACAAAAACAGCTTTAAATTGAACAATGTCTAGTAGAAACCACATGGCTGAAGCATTCATTTTCTTGCATCTGTAATGTGTGATATTCCATTTTACATTATACAACAATTGTATTTTGGTTGTTTTTTTTTTGTCATTGCTTTAAATCCTTCCCAGTGGTTACCCAATTGTTCTGTAATTTTTCCAGTTTTGAAGACCATCCTTTCTGCATAAATGGGACTACACTTCACCAGTGAGCGATAGTCATGTCTTTATGCTCAAAAATCATTCCAGCCTCATGTTATAGTTTAGCACATGAACTGCAATCCTCAGCGTTAAGGTTGGATTGTAGCTGTATTTAGCTGTGTGTAAAACATCTCTCAGAGGGCAGCAGGAATTGCTGATTGTTGGGTTTCTTTTTTGTACTTCCTGCTGTGAGCATTTCTTTCAGCACTCAATAACAGCAGTGGTCACTGTTGTTTTTAACGTTCCAGTGTGTCTCACAAGGCACCAGATCACAGCTCGCAACAGTTACTTCCTTACATATATATTTTCATTAGACCCTGAGATTTTGGTCATTTTTCAATGATGCAGCACAATGGGTAAAACACTTAGAGAAGGGAGTCTAATTTAATAAGAGGTCATAAAATTGTGCTGCAGATTTTTCTGCATACTAAAGAAGAATGAGTGAATATCTGGGCTATCCTTTGCCACATACTAGCTTAAGAAGTCTTTGTGCTGTGTTGTATTGCATTATATCATATCACACTGTGTATATTAAAAGTGTTTTTTTTTCCTATTTCTACGTTTCCTTAATGCGAGATGGGATTGGTGGGCATGTGAGTACAGTTGGTGCATCGAAAGCATTTAGACATTTACAGTAGGACGTACAGTGAAAATGACGATGTAGAGGTGAAGCACATTGCCCAGTTTAAGATGAAACCTTTGCCAAAATATATACGGTTTCATGAGAGCAGGAAAAAAAAAAGCAATTTGAAACAGTGGTCCGTTTTGCGTAAAATAATTCTGTTGCAAATCTGACTGCCTCCAGAAGTAAATAATGTTCATACTATTCATATCTGTAACAAGTCCCTGTTTCATTGCATGCCTTGCCATGTATTTGTTTTGCTGTAAAGGGCTCCATTACAAAAGGGGTAATGATTTTAAAACCGTGTCTTGGGTTAAGTTAAAGTAAATCTGATCAACCCCTTGTCATGTTGTATCTCAGTATCTCTAGTGTAGATGCTGCAAGTTGCTTCGAACAGGAGCTGACCTGTTTGTAATAGGATCCAATTCATTATCATTATAGACCATTGTTTTGGCATTTTTGTATGAAAGCCTAAGCAGTTGCAGGAGATACCCGTTTCTTCAGCTAATGAGTATTCTTGTAGAGGCAATGTGATCCGTTTTAATGGTGTAATGCCCAACAGCCATGTACTGTCGCATCTTTGCTGTATAAAGTGGGGCTAAAACAACTCATCCACAGCAAGAGAGACAGTAAACATTTTGAGTAATCTACAATGTAGCCGTTGAGGTTATATGTACTGTATATGTTTTTTTTTTTTTAGTCTGTGGTACTCTGCTCCCTTTACGTGGTGATGAAGGGCACCAATACTCATGAAATATTCCATTCATGTGTTTGCAATGGGCAATCTAATGCCTATGTGATATGTGTTCTTAGTATTAGGGGATAAGCATGCTCAATTGTTTGGTTTCCTTTTAATTAATAGCGTGTAAAATAGGATTACTCAATCTGCATTTATTTGTTTCTCTTTTCTGAATAGACGCTTTACTGTCAGCACATCAGAACAGTTAATCCGTAATAAAAGGATGAGTTGGTTGTACCTCAGTTCATTCCATTTCTTTTTGTGGAAATCAAAAGTAGAGAGGGGCAAGGAAGCCCACCTGCAGCAAAAGGAACTGCTCAATTGTTTTAACAATAAGCATCATACTGACCAACTTATATTTATTTCCTGAATAGAAAACCTAACTGTGCTTCGTTTACACCAACCTACAATTCATGGTGCTAAGTGAAGGGCTAACTTTCTTCTAGTGCACGCCACAATTGAAGTATTTGCTTCATTTCAATTTATTATTTTCCCACTGGTTTCAGGGTCATTAGTATGCTAAAAAATTCCTAATGTTAATACATTACTGTTATAGAACACCTCAAAAGTATCATAATGATTCTCCCATAAGGGTAGCACTTTTCATCATTAAGGATCCCAAAAAGTTTTACACACAGGAGGAGATACAGTACACTTCATCCTCCACTCAAGCAAAGCACCCTCTTGGGTCACATGTAGCAGACATGATGCACCAGCATTCCCACTAAATGGCTAATCACGGGAAGTAAGACGTTTCTTAATTAATTAAGTGATTGTATCAAAGGAATCCATAGTGTAGTCTTGACTATCTTGGAGTGGAATTTAAGAAGAAGAAGAAACATAAGAATAAGAATATTCATAGAGCGCTTTTCTGTACACTCCACTCAAAGTACTTTACAGGTATGGGGACTCCCCTCCACCACCACCAATGTGCAGCCCCACCTGGATGATGTGACTGCAGCCATAGTGCACCAGAACGCTCACCACACACCAGCTCTCAGTGGGGAGGAGAGCAGAGTGATGAAGCCAGTTCAGAGATGGGGATTATTAGTTTATTAGCTATTATTGAGCTTCAGTGGGCTGCCAGTTGTGAGTAGCAGGGTGATGTAACTGCTGGCATAATTTAGACAGGACAGGTGTTAACATCCCTAGTTTTCTCAATGGTACCTGGGGATCTTTCAGTGACTGGTTTAACTTCCCATCTGAAGAGAGGAAACTTCTACAGTGTATTTTTTCTGGTCTCTGTAGTAGTAATTGTTCGGGAAATTCAGGCATAGAGGGAAAAGTGCAACCTACTGGTACTGACTTACTTGAACTACCTGATTCTCTTTTGAAGTTCCCATTCCAGTTCTGGCAAGGCACAAACTTGCTCAGCTTCTGAGATCTGAGAAGATCAAGCTACAAGGTTGTCGTGCTCTTGTGAATGCATATCAAAATAGAGAAACATTTTCTTATTGAAAATATGAAGCTTAAAATTATAGAGAAAAATTTAATGTTTATTTTTTTTAAATGCCTCAGTTGACTTTTTGTGAATTCGTTGCAATAATATTGCACTGCATAGCCACACCCTATTGGACAGTTTCATGTTTTGTGTCTGTAAATGTTCATGTTGAGCGACACAAAAACTTACTTTTGAGAAAAAAAAAATCAATTTATGAAATTCCAATTCTTGGTTGAAATGGTTTGTTTTCAATGTACTCAAAAACCTCCCGAGTAGGATCCATAGGTATTGGCCACTAATCCTATTTCAAGATAATTACAGCCTAATTAACAATACAGTAAAAATCGATCTTTGAAATAGTTTAAAGTTCTGATGCTTATACTGTATATTTTTTAAGATGGAAGAATTTATATTCCCACTTATCTATTACAAAGCAATGATGCTTGTGGTCCAATTTAAATGATGATCCCTTTTCATTTTTTATAACCATCATACTTTCAAAATAGTTGGGAAGATGTCCCCAGAAATTTCAAGCAGCTGCACAGGTTACTCATATCATAAAAGAAAATGCATGCCCTTTGATTAGATTCTGAATTCCTACTGCGAATGAAGACGAGTCCTTTGAATTCATATTTGCAAAATTACAGGCGAATATGTATAAAATATTTAGGAGCTTCATAACAATGTGAAGCCACCCCACTGACATATTAAAGAATAGCGCTCTTCAGCAGTGACCCCTCCTGTCCAAAGCAGTTTGTCCTGTGATTACTGAGCACTGTGAAGTGCAGTAGAAGCGCTGTGCTATTGCCTCTTCAGGCAGTGTTGAGTTTTTTTCAGGCAGCTGGTTGGTGTATAAAAACCAAAGGAACTTGGAAATGAGCCTACAAGCATCTTCTGACCCAAAGGGATAAATGGCAGATAATAGATTCATTAGAAGAATGTGTTGTGGTCTCGTTAATCCACAAACACTGTATTATCTAGAGGAACCAATGCATGGTCTGTTACAGCTGTGAATTTCGTTGAAGTTGGACTGGATTGCTGTTTGAAACATTCTTTGGTTTTATGATTAGAAAGGGTGTACTGTGTATATAGTTTTTAAACGAACTGTATAACGGCAGTAGAATGAGTGTTGAATGTTACGACTAAATTGATTGTATCGGGAAGTAGTTTGTGGTGCAGAAATACACTGAAGGCCAACCAGGTAAGTAAGGACATTGAGATCATCTGGTTGTTGACATTTATAGGTTAAAAATATGACTCTGAAGTTTCATGATGGACTCCAGTGCATCAGCTTCAGAAACAATCCCAGTTGTAAAATGACTGAATGACTCTTGCAGAATTGTTGTAAAATTACCATTGGATCAGAATTTAAATGCAGGAATGAGTGATGTCCTTTGAAAAAAATTGAAATAGAGTGCTGTTTTGCCTTTTTTTCTACCGGCTATTCATTGTCATTTCCAAAATAATTATAATGCATGCAGTCATTTCTGGACATTCCACAGTGAATGTCGTGTTAATACAGCACAGTATTTTGCATGCATGTTTAGGGCATTTTTGTCTGAAGAGGTTTTTAATAATAATGCTCTAAGGAAATGGAAGTAACATATTTGTTATTATGCTGACAAAAAGTCGTAAACCCTATCTATTCTAGTGAGGACAAATATGTGTCTGACGAGTGTCACTTCACAATTTTTTAATGTCAAGCCACAGCAGATAAGTTACCTCAAATAAATGTTAAGTAAAACTGCTGAATGGTACATTGGCTCTTAAATAACTACAACTGTGTGTCTATGTGAAACATGTACATACAGGGCTGTGTCTCACTGAACAAATATGCTCATCAGTTAATGGACAGCTAGAAATATCTTAAGGTCTATTAGCTTACAGAATATATCAGTCAGCAACATTGTTTTTATTTCAACTGCTTTTCAGTCTAATGCTATTTTGTAGCCTCCGTAAATTGTATGTACATACTTTGCCTATATTTGATTTCAGATTTTTAAAAAGTATTTCCAGCTGGTAAAATGACTTCTAAATCTGTATGTCAATATGGAATTCGGAATGATAGGTGTTTCAAGTGTTTTTTATTTTCTGTCAATATGTTGTATTTGCTATGCAGGTTCGATATTTGTACATTTTTGACAAAATGTGAGGTTCATATCGCTGTCAATGCTGATGATCGATGGGGAATTATTGACCGGCTATTTAAGAACTTTTGATTCCTTATCCTGTTGCATTCAGCTCCTTGCTGCAAATACAATTTAAATAAACAAAGCCATTTCTGTGGTGTGATTCCTTTATTTTTCTATTATTTGTTATGTTCTCTGAGATGCTTGTAAGCATTGATGTATATTGACAATTGACTTCCTCTGCAAAGTCTAACGGACCCTGTTATCAAGCTATGCTGCAACGATACGAGATAAGATAGTTTGACGGTGCACTGATCGCGGTAAAGGAGACACTTCTTTCATTTGGCGGTCAGCTGAAATGCCCAGTGTCTTGGACGGCGGAGTCAGAACGGCTGCAGTGTAGCCTTCATTCCCCGAAGAGCCCACCTCGCCGCGGGGATGTTCTCTTTGTACACCTGGAGGTGCAGGACGGGTCCGCGGGGCCCCGCGGAGGAGCCGTACACAGGGCACTGGTAGGGGTCTGCGGCTCTGGCGGCGTCGCCCAGGCCAGCTTTCTCGGATTTGGGCAGGAACCGCAGGTGAATGACCGGCAGCGCCACGGGGCCGTGCTTCGGAGGAGCATCCAGGATCTCCGCCTCCGTCTTGTGCCAGGACACGCCCCACACATGGAGTCCATACACGAACACCCCCTCCTGCGGAGGATCCCGGATCTGCGGGGAGAGGGTGGTGTTGAGGTGTTTCACGTCACTGAGCGAAGAGAGGCGACCGGCAGCAGCTGAGAGGCTCTGGGTCCTGCTTCTGTTCTCCTCCACAGAGGATTCGGTTAACACGGCTTAAGGATTTGTTCGTTAATCATGAAGAAGTCCAAGCTGAGGGGACTGATAAAATACCAGTTCCAGCACATAGTGTGATCTGATTTTTGTTGAATCCTGCTGTGTGTTGAGGACCGAAGTGCTTTCCTGAAAATTACGTTAACCAGTACCGTGTCTTGGCAAATGTGTTCTATATTAAATATTTATCAAGTTGTCGTGTGTTAGGCTTATGTTGCGCGTTACAAACTCAATCGAGCATGTTCAAAAATGCAGTTTAGGGAGGTTTACCACTGGCAGAAGTCAATATTCATTTCAAAGTGTGCTTGTTTCGAGGCAAAAAAACACTTTGCAGATGACCTTATGGGAAGACCGACTTCTACAAGGTTCTCTTGTGCCTTATAGACAATATAATGCTAACTGAACTGCTACAGCTCTGGGCCTCTTCAGTCTTTGCCTCTCTGATGTCCTTAGTGGTGACTAGACAGCATGCCCTGTCTGTAGGCTGTATTGCATAACCGTGTAACACAGCGTCCGCGCACAATCCCTACTTACGTGGTCTTTGTCTCTTTGAGTGATGACGGTGTGGAGATCCATAGGCTCGATGAAGCCTGTTTGCTCTGCGTGTTGCTGGATGCTCTGTTGTCTGAACACTCCCAGCAGCCCCTTTGGATTCTTAAATGCCCCCAGCCAATATGTTGGCATTTTCTCTTGACCCTAGCATTGGAAAAATAAGTGTATATTTTTTTATTTAAAATGTGGTGACAAGAACTCAGGTCTAATGCTTACAGTTTATGATGATGAAAAATTTAAGATGTATTAGGATTAAATATTTTGGTTTCAGTTTCGCTTCCAGACAAGACAAGCAAAACGGATATTGCAAAGACTGGGTTTTTTCACATTTGAAATGTTATTTGAAGTAATTTTAAATCTAGTTTTAGGTTTTATCCAAAGTCCACTGAACAAATCGAAATAGCCATAAAACCTCAGATGTCTGATTCTCTCATTTGTATACACATATTACACAGATTTATTAATACAGTATTCTAAAAGAGTATTCTAATAAATACAGAAGTTGCAATTAACTCACAAGAAAGTAATTAGTTAAATGTTAGTGTATTATTGGTGACAGCCTTGTTTTTAAGGTGCCCCTGCTCTCCAAATACTCTTCCTATATTTTGCATTCCTGACCAGCAGCAAACCCTGAGCAGAGTGCCAACATGCTCCCACTTTCCCCAGCAGATGAAGCCGGATGAGGAGACAATGTTACGCGCACAGCACAGGCAATGGTTAATTATACCTTCCTCGCCAGTGATTGTATGTCTTTTTTCAGTTGTCCTCTATACTGTGCTCTGATGCAGATCATGAGATTGTGCATGGAAATACGTAGAGGTTTAATCTGCTGCGACTCTGTGAGAGCTGAAGAGACGTTGGAAGAGTTGGGTCTAACCAGGTTTCCTGCCTGTGACTTTGCTTTGCTGCTGTCTCTCTCGCCCACGACTAACTTACCAGCTGCAGAATCTTCTCAAAGTGGAGGACGCGTTGCTGGAGGTCTCTGACCCACGTCGCCGTTGCCCAGTGCTCGGGGGGGGTGTCTTGGCCCTCCAGGGAGCTCCAGTGTGTCGGGACCCTCTGGCGGAAAAGGTCTGCAGCAACGGAGAGCTCTGTCACCGACAGGGTGCCCCCCACCCTGAGTGGACCCTCCATGCTTTGTCTGATGGCCTGCGGTCAGAAAACCCAAAAGCTCACGGACTCTCCACCCAAATCTGTATTGCAGAAACCATAATCAACCTGCACCCTGTTCGACCACACGTCCATGTTTCGAACTCGCTTTGTCCGATTCGGGGTCATGGGGCAGTCGGTGTGCAGGTCGCAAGCGACGAGAGCAAGGCAGAGGACACCTTCGATGGGACAGTAGTCCAGTGCATGTCAGACACAGACAGGCACACGCTCGCACCAGGGCCAGTTTTCCCAGAGGCCACTGACCCTACCAGTAGTGTCTTTGGACTGCGGGAGGCAACTGGAGCACCTGGCGAACATAGGGAGAACATACAAACTCCACGCACATAGCACTCCGGGCATTAAAACTAAGGCCCCAGCTGAAAAGTTAGCAGGGAAGAGGCCGTGAGGAAGCAGGGCTGACCATTCAAAGTTTTCGCTTGAATGATATTCATATTTAATATTCTATTGCCTTTATATGATTGTTACGATTGTTGTTGTTCTTATTACTTCTGGTATGGACAATTAGTTTTTCCCCCTGGTAATTTTGCTGGGGCATCATTAAAAAGAACTCACAAAGTGTTGATAAAAATCACCTTTTAAAAAGTCATGTTCTAGCTTAAAAGGAAAACTCTGTGAACTTCTGTACGAAAGCAGGTACAAACTAATCAGACAGTATGTACAGTACCGTTTATGAAGCCGTGTGAAACAATATCTGAATAGAAGCTCTAAGAACACAAAAGCTGACAGTACTTGCAAATTTCTCTTCACTTCAGAGAGGAGTTCCATTAGGTGGTTCAGCTCTTTCTTCAAAAACAAGTTGAAGGGCGTATTTCCACCAATCTTTTTCAGTCTCTCATTGATGAAATCCTGTTTAATATATTTTCAAAAGAAAAATCAGACTTAATGTCTTCATACAGTATTATTGGGGATCCAAAGGACTTGTATTTGACACGACCAGAATTATTACACCTCAGTTGCTACTTTTGCTGGCAGAAATGAAGAAGTTATTCATATTTTATATAAAGTAGAAAAAAATAACCACAGTGAGTAACTGCTAAGTTACACAAATAATCCAATTATAAGGACTTGCCCTAATGTGACTGTCCTTATGTGATTGCCTAAAAATAATGCCCTGAATTACCATCTGGATTCATAAGGACAAAAGAAACACATCGTTTCGACTGCGGAGCCTTCTTTGGGTGTGATAATAAAAATGTCTCCTCATTTTTAGAACTTTAAGATATAACCACCTATGACTTACAACTTGACCTTATCAATTTTGGTCTTGATAAAAAAAAAAGTGCTCTGTGCACATTACCTTGCTCCACCCTTTCGGAATTTTAGCTTGGATGTTACAACAAATCTCCCACACTTCCTCTTCTTTCCTCGATTTCAATAGGAAGTCCCTGCAATGTCTTTGAACTGCGACTAGAGGGAGAGAATTTACAGTAGCAGATACCGAGTGGATCAGCACAGAATTCTGACGAGTTAATCCCAAATTACGATCGTCGTTAAAATTTACAAGAGCTGCTTTCAGACAATACCAAAAAAATACTTTGCCTGCAAGATAATTCTACTCACACGAGTGCTGCTGATGGTGAAATGATAAAGATTTGTACAGAGTTTTCAACCAATGGCAAGCATACTGCTCGTCTCCAAAGTGAAGCTGGAAAACAACATGGAAAGTATACGTTACTTCTGAAGTATTAAAGCACTAGAAAAGGGCGCAGATGAGGCTCCAGTGCTTACCCCTGGAGCAGAGTGCAGGCTGGTCCCCTCCGGAACGTCCAGTGTGTGGCGAGGAACGGAGTCCAGGGCCTGCAGCAGGCCCTCCAGCGGGGCATCGGGATCGAAGAAGGCAGCTGGGATCCTGTATTTCACTGTGGAGCGGCCCGCATACATTTGTTTACTACCGCTGCATGTAGCAGTCTGACCCTGCAATACCTTCTCTTACTTTACATATGGGAGAAAACTGGCTAAATTCAGTGAAACATTTGTTGCTGAGGTTTCCATCTGATATGGACATCTCATTTGGCGATTACCTTCATTTATGATCTCAATGTTTCTGAAAAAATATAGTCTACCCAGATTACTTTCTAAAATCCCTTTCCTTCTGCAGGTTGCTGTTTGTTTATATAGTACCTAAAACCACAGACGTTTTCAATTTCACAAGTAGGGCGCTCAAATGACACTCCCATTCTGACATCTAACGTATTTTGTACATTTGTTAAACTAAAACTATAATCATCCTTATTCAGGACTTCAAAAACACCAACAAAAAATGTCTCTGCTGATGTAGAGGAATAAATCTAAGCAACACGTTTCCTGAATCTGTTGAGTTAAACTTACATTTTGTCATATCGTTGTCTTTCTTTGTTGCAGTTGAACTGATCCACAAATCAACCAATGATGCCAAGCTTCTTTTATCACAGTCATCAGTTATATTTTTGCCGTAAATAACCTAGGGAAATAAGCCAGTCCATTGAAAGCAGTCACCACAGCTGGTACTGTAACCTGAGCACAGAGCACAGTGACAGTCCACTACTGTGGATCCTGATTACTTAAAGCTAAGTACATTTTTTCCCAATGATTACTTTAATCAGATCAGTTCCTGAAATGCAACTATTTGTGTTTCAATAAGCAGAATGAGTAATGATGCCTTACATTTGTCAGGAGATACCGAATCCCAGTCCAAGAAACACTCCTTCCCTCTCCTACGTCAGAGGTGGAACCATCTCTGAATTCCTCTCTTAGTACCTGCAAGGCATCCTGAAGCAAACAAGAACACATAAATGAACCTGAATTAATACTTTAGAATCTACTTACAGGAAAGGAAAAAAAAAATGTGTATAGCTGTAATAGGTTTTGGACGTGACCAAAAATACTACTTCAAAAACAGATTGCAAAATGTACAATTCTAGCCTACGTATTGCAGCTTGTGCAATTCCTTCTCTACCGAGATTTGCTCCTTCATTTCCCGGCCCCCGGAGTGACACAGGAGAAGAACTCAAATGGAAAATATAAACCTCATGGTGTCCATCTAATAGTTTTGCAACTCTAAACCCCATGTGCCTTTTGGAACAGGCATTAGAAGATCTACCAACATGCTGCAAAATGTTTGTTTGTTTTTTTACCCAGTGTGCCCGAAGGTTATTTGGGATTCACAGTCATGCTCATGTTCACTGCCACTGCCCAAGAAAAAACAACCCAGCAAAAACATGGCGGGGTCTACCCTGAATTCCTGGATGCCAAACATCATGGCGTGTCTGAAGTTCCAGCCTGTGGTGCCCCCTGCGGCGGCCCGGAGCCTCACGGCGCAGTGCAGGTAACACAGGTTGTGAATGAGGGCTGGCCATTCCGCACGGCTGCAACTGCGCAGTGCGTCTGGGCCAACCTGCTGCAGGCATCTGAGCATGGCGTCCTTCATGTTCTGCAATTCCAAAAGAAAGTCAGCCTCGCGGACACGAGAAGGAAGCACCACCTTCCTTTGGAAACGCTCTCCTGGAATCTTTTCACAGTGTGGTGAAATAAAGACTGTCAATATGTGGGAACCAGTGAGGATTTGTCGGGACCGTACGCATTTCAATTTCAGTCTCTGTTGATGTGTTATGGATATAACTACTGCAGGGCAATGGCACCAGGAACAGATTATTTCAGCATGTAAAAATAATCATGGACTACAACCACAGTGTCTGCATTACAATCAATAGAATGAGAAACAGTTGTTGAGTTAATTTCATGAAAACTAGGATTATTCGATTTCTGCCATTTAAGCGCTTTAAGTCTACTCAGTGTTGAATAATATACAATGTGTTATACAGTTGTTTCATTTTTAGAATCGTAACTGACTCTTTTACGGAAAAAGTCAAAAGCAAAATTACATCAACCTAAATGGCATTAATTTGAATTACATTCTAGATATTTACTGCAGCAGTACAACATTTAAAGCACTACAAAAAGTACCTTTGGTGTGTCCACCACAATTCGCAGTGATACATGCATGAGCCTCACTGGAATGCTGGTGTTGGCCTGAGCAGAAATCCAGAGGCGGAACTGTTTGTTTGGATTCTTATTCAGATGGATCATGCTTTCTATTGATGTCATCAAGTGCATTGAATTATGGATATTTTCCAGCAAAACCCAGCTCCCCTGGTTGGAAAACAAGCAATTCCTAATTTTATGCAACTTCAATTCTTGGTGTCTGCAAAAACTATTGTAATATTTTCTGGGAGAATCTTAAAGTAATAACAATTGTCTGACAGTGGAGTGTCAGGGGCTATTCTTAAGGGGCTTTTATGTGGAAGAATTGAGGGCCACAATGTGTGGTCCACAGAACAAACCGAAGAAAACAAAATCTTTCTATGAAGTCTTACACTATAACAAAGATAGACCCAGACTAACTTCAAACTAATTGGCACAAATTCTTTTGAACTCTGAATAAGGTGATTTGTTCAATTTACTAGTTTCAAGTTTTCATAATTTCATTTCAAACTGCCTCTAAACCACACAACTGAAAACATCTGCTTGAGTGGTCAAAATGAGATTGTTCCAAGTGGTTAGAGATTGCTGATTAAAGGAAAGCCTACAAAACCTGTTGCAGTGTGGCTCTCTGGACCTGGGTTCACCATCGCTATGCTTTTGCATGTAATGTTATGACAAGAGTTTCATAATTCGTGGTGTAATAACATTTGAAGGACTGATGTGAATTTTGAACAGACGTTAGGGTGGCACAGTGGCTAGCATTCCTGCCTCATGGTGCTGGGGCCCTGACTTTAATTTCCTCTGTGCTGTCTGTGTGGAGTTTGCATGTTCTCCCCATGGTCCTGTGGGTTTCCTTCGAGTGCAACAGTTTTCTCCCATACTCCAAAGACATACTGGTAGGTTAATGGGATCTGGGAAGACTGGGCCATGTGTGTGTGTGCTTCCGTGTTCGTGTCTGTGTGCCCTGGGATGGACTGGCATCTCATCCAGGGTGTATCCCCCTGCCTTGCGCCTGTTGGTTGCTCCCCCGCAGCACTGGTTATTCAATGGATGGATGAATTGCTAACCCCATTATGTTTTCATGAATATTTAGTAATATTCTCATTTTGAGGTACGCTGACTTTGTGAAAATGTAATATGGATGTGGCGTGCTGTATAAAAAATAGTGTTACCAAGTCCCTTGTGAGACAATACCTTGGACTGGCCGTTTTCAATCACATCCTTGATTCTCCTCTCTTCGCTGGCACTATCTTCACTGACAAACACAACTTCGGTTTTACAGCTCCTTTGGCTGCACAGTTCCAGGACAAGCCTCCGAGGCTCCTCCGCCTCACGGCTGTACAGCAGTAACACTGGGGTCTGGGCTGTCGTCTGCTGTATGCATCTTTGGAGATCAGATGGGATCTCAGTGATGTATCTACAATGAAACCAATGATCAATGCATATAAACTATTGAAAGCAAGTAACTTGCTTAGCTATTCAAAGTTCAGATCATTGAACAGTTGCTGTTTTCCGAGTTATACAGGGATGTAATAATTTGCTCATGCGCTATTTTTCTTTCAATGGAGTCTAAGGACTGACTATCCATGCACTCACTTCTTCCCAAGAGTGCTGCCGATGAACAGGGAAGCTGCCTGTATGAGCCTGTCACTGCGGATTGCTCGGACGACCAGAAGGCGCTGCAGTGCCGTCAGGCTGCTCAACCCTTCAGGGCCCTTAACCTTGAACAACACAAAAACAACAGTGGTTTCAACAGTGGTAATTCGCTGACAAGAAGATGTATGATAGATGAAAGGATTTCAAAAATGTTGAACTGTGTGCCAAACCGATGCCACATGATTTTACTTATATTCTCCGGGCACCTAAATTGCAAACCAGTTTAAACAGATGCATGGAAAAAAAAAACAGAAAATAAAACAAAATAACCACAACTGGCAGTTCCAAGACAGAAACTGTGTCAAAATAATTTTTAATTTCAAAACCACAACTATACTGACCAAAAATGACACTACAACATTACAGTTAAATTACTTTCAAATAGTTGTGAAAAGTTTACTACAGTATACTGTACTATCAAATATAACTTTCAAGTTTATTTACAAAATACCACACAGCAACAAGTAGATATTCAGATTATTTTTTGGAGTAGTCAAACTTCGTTCAGAGGTACTGTAAAGATTAGAGATTTACCTTTGCAGGGTTCTCTGGCTGGTCACTATCACATAAAGCCTTCCATGTCATTTCTTTACCATCCTTAAACATTCGGTCAAACAGTTCATGGAACCAGCTATAATACGTACCCAGAATCTGAAACACAGTTAAGAAATATTCAGTGCTCTTCAGTGCTATGTAGAATCTAGTATAAGAATTTTTCACATTATTTCTCGTTAACAGTTGTGAAATTGGATGACTAATTTTATTGACTTAAATTAATTTATGAAAGAACACCTTCAATTCCAATCAAAAAACACAACTATGAATGAATGGTGCTCAAAACAAACACATAATCCCCCAAAATATTTAGTAGCAGAAATTATAATGTGCTTTACACTGATCTGAATGATGAAAGATGTTTCACCAGAAAGAAAGTGTTGATTTTCATACCACCAGTTAAAATGCAATGATTAAAGTACAACAAAAAGTTTGTTCAGGATTTTGAACTCAATATACTGGGTATGAAACATTATAACAGGAGTCAAAATTTAGAACAGATTCACAAACTGACAAGTGTGAGAATATGACATACTGTATTAAAACCCCCAAACCTTGTTTTATAAGAACTATTATAACAAGTTGTCTTGTGTGTCACTGCAACCAATGAGCTCTGTGAAGGTAAACTGTCCGATATAGGAAATAATACAGTAGTGTCTCCACATTTGTGAGGGTTCAGTGTAGAGAACGGTCACAAATAGCCAAATTCTCACGTACCTGTAACTCAGTACAGTAGTAATGCATTGGTTTAAATTTAAATAATTTTGATCAAATATAAGAAACAACCATAATCATAAACTTAAAGTAATCATCTAAAATAAACAACATGAATCCCTCCTCTGCATCCAGCAGATGCCTGCACTTTCTCTCGTTGCCTATGTGATTAACATGCCACTGTAATGAAAAGGCAATAAAACTGTCAGGGAGCCTGTGGAGTCGTCTCCAGCCTGTCATTCCCCACGCTGCAGACACAGAACCAGGAGTTTTCGTATCAATACAAAAACAAGACCAGGCTGAGATGTGGATGCTGTGTAGTGGGCACTTTGGGCAGGAGCAGGGAGAGGCTCACTCACGAGCTAGATTTGTCTTAAGATCCTAGTCTATTGGACCTCTAATTTGAAAGATGCAGTTAACCTTCAGCTCAGTATCATCTCATTGTGCTCTTCTTCTATCCAAAAAAACAATACCCAGTTGACCAGAATGAATCTCGAATAAGCAAATTTGCAAATGTTAAATTCATAGATGAAGAGTCCCTACTGTAGTCAATTTAGAACTGCCTCTCTGTACCCAGATATTGTACATTCCAACATTGACGATTAATGGTCTCAGAAACACTTTAACAATAATTCTGGGCTTTTTGAAACTGAAGAAAACACCAAAATACCTGCACATTTTTAAACTGCTCCTCAGTCATCCACTCGAAAGGATTCTTGGCAGCCTGCCTTGTTTCTGAGGGTTTTGCTTTCGTGGCTTCCATCAGAGAGGCACAGAGGTCGGGGGAGAGAACAAACTCTATCATACCTGGGCTGATGTGGCCGAGGCAGCTTTCAATCTGGAAATCAAAGCGGAAATGTATACAAAGCCCCTTTCTGTTGTAGCATTGTCTCCTGGACAGGCGTGCAGATCAGGAGCAGTAAAATTAACCGTCTAAGGGAGAATGGCTATTCTTAATAGACTCAGAACTGAAACTTGCAAAGGGCGACGGAATTTTATGATTTTTTTGTACAGTTACACAATTATGGCTGTGCTTTACTGTCGTTGGAATATCCTACATTTGTGTTTCTGTTATATGAGGTAGGCTCCCTGTCTGGTGCCCCTGAGTTGAAGAAGTGGTTCAGTAGCAGGGTGCCAGGTTTCTCACTACAGTGTGAGACCCTGTGAATGCGCATATTTAGCTGTGTTTCGTATCGTGTGACTTCCATCACTGGAAAACTGTCTGTAAGCTTTTTTTCTCTGTGTTTTGTGTGTGACTCTTTGGCATTTATAAATGCCATCATATACTGTATATGAACATATAGAATTTAACACCCTTTCTTCTCTAGCAGAAGAAAACTTGCATGATTACAAAACTTTACATGATTAGAAAATAAAGAAAATTACAACTTCAAATCAAACAGAATGCAAGGGAGAAACCCATTACACTGCACCGGGTTTCTTTTAAAGACTGTTTTTACTCCCTCCAAAGGAATTTGGTAATTAAAAATTAACTGAAACTTTATTTATACATGTAATGTAATATATTATATTACAAATGATAATTGAACAAGACCCTATACACATAAATTCTTACTTCAAAAGCTAAGAGCAGGGTATACACCATCTGATCTCTTTCCAACATGTATCTTCCAATGTAACAAAATATGTTATATGTCAAGCGGTCAACAAGAGTCTTGATTGAAAATCTGTATAAGATAAAAGCATAAACATCCAAAGTTTTAAAACCGATCTGTAAATATATATTTAAAGACGGTTCTATGCCAAAATATACAGGCAAAATGCCCAAAGCTTTGCATTTTAATTTTTCTTTTCATCATAGAGTTACCCTCTGCTTGTTCCTTTTGCAGCCTGAGCAGTGATGCACATCCCCTATCTAAAGTCCTAAAACATGTCTTCAATTTTAAGGCTACATTTGCATATACCAACACAGAATGTTATAACATTGGGAAGCACAGTGGAAAGGAAACCATTGCTGGCTTGCAGCTCTGGGGCCCTGGGTTCAATTCTTGACCTGGAGTGTCTGGATTCTAGAGGACCTGGAGTGAGAGAGTGTGTGGAGTTTGCATGTTCTCCCCAAGTTTGGGAGGGTTTCCTTTCGGTGTACATTAAAACAGGATGCTTAAGTGAAAAGTGTTTTTTTCCACTCAGATACAGGATAAGTCACTATTTTTTGGAGCTTTTCTTTAGCCATTTGTAAGACTACGGAAGCTTGTTAGCCCCACGGAGAAAAAAAAATATTTATATGAGATAGTACTGTGTTTATAAGAGAACATTATTGTATTTAGACAAGAAAATTATTGCATCTATATGAGAAAATAATTGCATTTAAATGCAATACTGTAGTTAATTTGTGAACAACATTGCCAACTATATTAATAGTAGCATTGATTAACAACAATAGAATATCATCACACACCTCTTTTTGGAACAAAAAAATCTAAAGCACATGTTCTGTCTTTTTAATACATGAAGTACAACACTGTGTCAGTAAGCACTCCCAGGTTAAACACATTGTTTTCGCAATTTCTCTGACAAGTAGGAATGACATGGCTTTCCAAACGTATGTTCTTCTTGATGTGAAGCTGCAGAGACATGGGTTCATGGCTGCAGTGTACATGGGTTTTTGCAGACTCTTTAAACATTGAACAGATTACGATCTCATATAAATGCAATACGTTTCTCGTTTAAATGCAATACTGTTCCTGTATAAACGCCATACTATCTCATATAAATGCAAAAAAAAATTATTCTCCATGGAGCTAATAAGCTTTCACATAAGACAAGAAGAAACCTTTCAGACAATTGCCAAATGTCACGCAGGGACAAAGGGAAAAGAATGGTAATGTTGTAACAGAGAAAAGTCAATAGTGCATTACGAATCCACAAATCTGTTGAAGGATCCACAGCTATCCTTTCTAAAACAAATGTTTGTTGCTTAAAATGACAGAAAAACAGAAATATCTGTGGATGATAACAATCCATTCAATGGCACTTGGAAAGCAACATCAATATTTTTTCAACTGTAATATAATCCATAGAAAAATATACACATTTATGAATCGATTACACATTGAAGTAAATCATAAATGAAGACCATTGTAATACATTGTGAGAAGTGATTAAAAGCCTCACTTTTTGGCTCTCCATTGGGGCATCAGTGTGGCAAAAATACTGAGTTGTACCTTTCTGAGTGCACAGCTGAACTGTCGAAAACCTCCAGAAGCTGGCTAAAGCTAATGTGATAGGCAGGGTTCACTTGTCTCATCGTATTGGCAGTGTCAAACATCAGTGCAGCTCTGTCTGCGAGGTCTCTGAACCCTTCTCTGGCAGTGAGTGCTGTCTTTTCCAATAACGCAAGCTTTGATTTCCTGTAAGAGGAGAACGAAAACATCTCGAATTTTAGGATGTGAACATTTTTCACTCACTTTCAGGGCGCTGAAAATAAAACATCCGCTAAATCGCAGAGAAGAGATCCTTAAATCCAGAAGACATTAAACAAAAACTGACAACTGAAGTGATTTGGTGTACAATAATGCACAGAATGATGATGAAAGTAGTTAATCCATAAAACATACTGTATCTACTGTACATTAAGGAGTCTGTGAGTGGATATGGCTGAAAACATTTGGGGGAATGACAAGTTTCTCATGTGCACCAGGTTTTCCTTACATTTCTAAGGCTTCATCATAGTGCTGGTGTAGGTCACTCAACGTTCTGTTTAGAGCCAGGTGGTGGAGGAGAGAGGATTCCTGGGATAAGGTTTCTGCAATCTTCTCTTCCACAGTTTGAAGATCCTCCATGTTGTCCAAACATTCCTAGTGATGACAAAGGGAAATAATGAATCACACCAGTATGTTGTTTCTTCTTATAAAATGGTACACAAAAACACAGTAGGTGACATTTATACAGACAGATCAAGGGCACGGTGAACAAACAATATGAAACAGTTAGCTAGATTTCAAGCAAGATAATCAGCACATGTGCAGTATACACTGAAAGTGTTGGCAATGTTTATACGCAGAACAAGTGAAGTGAAGTTGATTAGCAACTGTTAAAATCTATTGTATATATAATTAATATCACTTAAATTTACAAGCTGTGTAACTGAAATACATATTCTGCTTTTCTGAATTTCAGCAGGTTAGAAACCTCACTGAAGATCTGGTGAGTAAACCTTAGAGGCAGGATAACCCCCAGGTCTCCTTTTTTAGCCTTTTTCAAGACAGGTGATTGTTTATTAATTCTGAAAATGCACGGACACGTCACTTTTATCGCAGCAGTTATTTACCAGGATTATCAATAAAATACTAACGGAGATACAGCACACATTTAGGCTTCAGCACAAAACCTTGAATGAGATAATATTCGGTATTGTTTCTAATAGATATTTGCTTTCCTAGAAGGTTTGCCTGCTAAATGTAATGATCAGGTTTAATTAATTGCTGACCTTTGATCATGAAAAAGTCTAATTACGATATCTATGTTGTTTTGTCTCTGTTACTCTCTAACAGTAAGGTGTAAGATATTAAGAATATTATCTTATTCTTATGGAACATGCTATTTCTGTGAATGGACTATTTCACATATTTTTTTGGTATCATTTTAAAGATTGAGATCCTTAATTACATGCATTGATAGCTGTCAACTTTTTCCTCTCTAATGCCTCTTTTCTTTTTGTACTCCATATATACAGTACTTTTTTGCTTGAACA